CAGGTAACATCTGTACAAACTGTAATACAGATTTCTTTTATATATATTTTTTTTTTATAAGGATATATATATATATAAAGAGTGAATGATCTAATACTCTCTTTTGTATTCCATTCCCAAAAGAAATTATTTTTCTAAAATATCTGACAAAGAACAATAGGCGTCAATGGAATTTCACCTCATTCTTTAGCAAGTAACACCCAACTTACAGTCATGCAAACTGATGAAAATGGAACATTCATGTAGCAAATTGTTTTCCCTTCATATATTATAATGTTAGTAATTGACATTCATGATATAAACAAATTTTTGTATATATATTTAATAGGGGGAAAAGTGTACAACAACCAGACAAAAACAGGAGAGAAAAAGGGGGAAAAAAGGGTATAAATTAATGAAATCTGACAACAAAATATGTTAATTATTTCCTAAAATATATATTTTAAATTAAAAGAAGTAAGAGATAATCACAAAAAAATTATTTTCTACTTAATTTTTTTTTCTTTTGGCCTGTTTTCTATTTAAAAAATATTTTCAGAGGGGAAATTCTAAGACATTTTATTTTATTTTATTTTTTTATAAATTGAAAATGTTTAATAGCTTTCTGCTTTTGAAAATGTTTATACTGTATCCCTTATTGATAACAATCAGAACTTGTAATCATCTAAATCCGATTTAGTTCTTTGCAAAAACAATTCAATATACCTTAAAAAATTATTTTTCTCCTTTTTTCCCCCTCTATCTTTATAAATAAAGCAAGAAATTCGCTTTTGTCCTTTGATAAGTACAAAGAAAAATAAAAAAAAATACGTTTAAAGATTTATTATTATTTTTCATCTCAGAAACTGTATTTTAATTTCATGTAAAACAATTTATTGGAATTTAATGCAATACTTTATTTTTTTATTATTATTTTATTTTACTTTACTAATATATATATATATATATTTTTTCCTATATCAGGACATGTAGAACACTAAAATCAGCTTAAAATGCAATTAAAAATCTCGTTTATCCTATGAAAAAATAATCAAAATATAAATACAATTTTTTTAATATTATAAAATGGGATATTATTTATTTTATATTTTCTTTAAAATTCTTACATCAAAACTAAGTTGGAAATATTTTTATTTATTTTTTTTTTTTGAGGGAGGAAGGATGTTGTTTAATTAGTAAATATTATCGATAACATAAAAGAAACATAGTTTTGTTTTATTAACGATAATTAAATAACGTGTCCATCATTAATTTTTATTAAAAATCCTGAAAAAATTATCCAGAATTATGAATTATACAGACCAACATCTGTCAATGGGCAAAAATAGGAAGTTTTGTGAAGGGGGGTGACGCCAGCTGGTACATCGTAAAGAACAAATTGTGCATCATTTTGGAAAGAAAAATCAGCATTATACATCCAAAAACTGATAAAATTATGTAAATCAAGAAACGCTCTACTTGCTTGAATGTGTCCAACACATTTCGATTCTTATATATAAATACACACATATATATATATATATATATAAATTTTTTTTATTGTCCTCCTGTTTTCTCTATGACGAAATTTTTGGTTTCGCATTATTGGTTTATTAAGCAATTTCGAACTTATTTTCTAATTTCGAATGTCGAATTTTTTTATTATTTTTTTGAATTATTTCTAATTGTTTCGTCGAAAGGGTATTGTTTTTACGACTTTCTCTTATGTTTTGGAACAAGTGTTGAAGGATTAATTCACGCTACAATGATTTCTTGTTAAAGTTTTAAGAATAATTAATTTTCTCTTTAGCATTTTTACAGAAAGGAATTGGGTTATTAAAAATTTTTCTGAATGAAATTTGTTCTAATTTAAAAACATAAAAATATAATATTAATATATATCTTGTAATCAATAAAATAACAGGAAAAAATAAATAAATAATAATAATAATACCTTTTTTTTTTATGGATGTCCACTCTCCCTCTTTCTCTTCAAGATTATTTTCAATGATATATATAAGTTATGTTTGCGTGTTTTCTGAAAGAAAATGGTTAAAGTTTATTTATTCTTGGATGAATAAAGCTTACAAAAATATATCTTCCATCACATAAAGTAATAGCTTCAGAACAAACAAGTATATACATTTATTTTCTAATATTTCCATTAAAAGTATCAGTTCAAATATATTAAATTTCAAGAAAAATTATTAAAATTTATTTTTATTTATTGTAAATCTTTATAAAATGTTAAATATATTTTGAAAATAAACCAATTGTAAAAAAAAACAAAATATTTTTATATTTTATTTTTAATGGATGCTACATTTAAGTATTAAAT